TATATATATATATATATATATATATATATATATATGTATATATATATATATATATATATATATATATATATATATATATATATATATATATATATATATATATATATATATATAGACATATATATATATATATATATATATATATATATATATATATATATATATATATATATATATATATATATATATATATATATATATATATATATATATATATATATATATATATATATATATATATATATATATATATATATATATATATATTGTTTTGCAAGGGAACGCAAAACATCTTTGCGATATAACGCAAAACTTTGCGAGGGAACGCAAAAACTTTGAAATATATATTTTCCTCCCACCCATTTTTTTCTTTCACCCATTTTTTTTTTCACCAAGCCAATTTTTTTCTCCTCCACTACCTCCCTTTCGGGGTTCCGTAGTAATCAGTGGAGATATGCATTTAGATTCGCATTAAATGTGTTCATTTTGACCTGCAACAAGGAGTTGATTGCTGTTTCTAAATCATGTTGCGCTGTGTCTGTTAGATCAGCAGATTGCGTTCGCAACACTGGAGTCGAGAGGGTTATTACCTGCTCTTCAGGTAAGCCTTCCTGAAAATTATAAATTAGAATAGGCTTAATAATACACTGAACAGATCCTCAAGATCCTTAAGTTTTGGAAGTGTCTGCTGATACCGGAGGGCTTGGCTCTGTGTCTCAGTGATGCATCAAGCACTTTATTCACGCACAGACGTGACGCGCACCGCTCCATAAGATTATTCTGTGATATTAAACATTTTCTGTTCACTCATCCTTCAGACTGAGTTAATTCCTTCGAGGGAAATTCTCATTGTGGTCAAAGTAGTTGATTAAATTAATAAAAGTACGCAATATGGATCGTCATTAACAGAAAATGATTTAGCCTAATATAGGCTACTCTGAAACTGTGAATATGTCACTGTCATTTTATTTATATTAATACTTTATTTAACAGACCTGTTTGATTTTTGATTAGGGTCAATATTGGAAGCCTATTACAGATTTCAAGGAAAAATCTTAATATTAAAAAAGGAAACACAATTTGGACCAAAACAGATCAATGTCATAACGGATGCTCAAATAATTTAGCCCTGTTTACAGCAAGCATCATGTTTTAGTTGAATTGTGCCATCTGTAATATACTGTAGGCCTATAGGTCTGTTATTTTTACTAAAGAAGATATGTTATTCAAATTTATCACAGGAACTATAGAAACTGTACTATGCTTAGAAGGAAAAAAGAAGGAAAAAAGTGCATTATCGGGATCGGATCTGTATCGGTCGATACTCAGAATTTTGGTATCGGGATCAGGTCGGTTCTGCATCTTTAATTTACACTTTGCCATTGCACACACTTTATCAAGTTTAAGAGTCTCTTTAACACTTATTTTTATTTTATTATAAAGAGATTAAATAGTTTTGTTTTTCGATTAAAGCTATTTGCATGTTGTAGTAATTAGTAATGTTGGTCAATTAAAATAAATGGGTTAAACTAATATTCCTAAATGGATTATTAAAAAATATGCAATAATTATCGATATCGAATGATATAAAACATGATATTGTGGTATTTTGTTTGCTGTATCGCTCAGCCCTATTTAGGCATAGTTTAGTAGTTTAAATGACAAATATTTGAAAAGTGAGCACACACTGTTAATGTTAATAATACCTTCATGCCTTACAGTCCCATTTTTGAAATTAGATCAGAGCTATGGTATAGTTTACATTTTGCAACGATACAAGTAACGTGATCTCCATAAGGAAAGCATAACTCTGCTTCTTTTAATAAAAATATTAACCAACTGCATAGAAACCTGCTGCTTCATGTGAGAAATCTCTCATGTTTCTACAGAGCAGTCATTCCTGGAGTCACGCCATGTTCAAGGCCGTGCTGAAGAAGAGCAGAGATGGTGGGAAAAACAAGAAGGATGCAGGTAGGAAAACTCAATCTGATATGTTTCTGGCTTTTGATTTCATCAACAAATCAAAACATTTTACAGTTGTGATCTCCAGCGCTGAATTTCGGGACCTGTTACAAAACAATGTTGCAGCTTTTCCACTTGGATGATGACATTTCTTTAAAGAGCAGGTCACATGGTGTTTTAAAGCGTCCTAATCTATTTTTAAAAGGTTTAAATGCATCAAAGGACAGAATAATTTATATTAATAATAAAATTAATCTATTAATCTATCTATTAATAATAGAATCATTTGGTTTTACATGTGGTTTGTTTGAATCATTTTCGTGCTTCAAGTTCCCATGAAATCAAATAATGTTTTTTTTAGATGTTAGTTTCAATTAGGGTTGTCACCATACTGGAATTCGATACCAGGGCTCGAAATTGCGACTATTTTGGTCGCATATGCACCTGAAATTTAAGCTATGCGACCTCATAATATATATTGAGAGCATTCGTGGGACTGCATATATTGGTTGTAGTGCGACCTGTTTTTTGTTTTTTTTAAATCGGTCTTCCCTGCTGCTATATTGGTTCATATTAGCTGTCAATCACTCAAGACTTTCCGCTGTCAGATGACAGGGAGGGAGCTTTTGTGACCGCGGGGAATGCAAACGGCTGAAAAGTGAAAAGTATACTGACTCTCGATGCGTTGCGTGCACTGCGTGTTCAGCCAACACAATCTCACGGCAATTCGTAACATTTTCATACGTTTACTCGTCCGCTAAATGTCCGCTAAAACACCATCGCCGAAGAAGCTTGCCTTTACTGCATTTAAACTGATGCAGGTTATAACAAAGAACAGCATTGCGCCGGTGTTTATCGGGAGAATCCTGCTCTGCCCCCCTCATATTGGACCGGCTGACTCGCATGCTTTTCCACAAACACAGAAAAATGCATTAAAACGACACGAACCGAATCCAAAACTTTTAAAAGTGAGACTTTTCTCTTTCTTTCTTTTGTCCGTTCTTTCTTGAGGTGTATATTTTACAGTCTATGGGTGTATATTAGTTTTCTATTTAATTACTGAGGACTGCTTTGCAGCTTTCAGCATATCGTTTGTTTTGTAGCAGAAATATTATTTATTAAATTGACATGTATAAAAACAATAGTACAAAATAAATATTTCTTACTGCAATGCTTCATTTGTGTTTGATGCAAACCATCAGTTTATTTTTCATAAAGTAACAGCAGAACTTTATATAGCAGATAACTTACATTAAAGCACATTCAAGGCAGCATGATCATGACAAATATAATTTATTATTAGTATTATTGTCATCATCGTCATCATTAATATTTTATAATTATTCAACATTTATTTTGGAATTATTGCACAAATATCAAGTCATCACAGCATTAGTTAGATAATTGTTTCTGGGTTTTGTTTGTCCCAATTGATGTTGTTTTCAAATACAATAAATCCCTTAATATACAACTTGTCAAATATATCATTCATTTTTGGTGGGTGCTCCTAAATTTTTTCTGGTGCTATTAAATATTTCAGGTTGGGAGCACCGTTGCTACCAAGTAAGAAAGTTAATTTCGAGCCCTGGATACCAATCGAATTGAAATTTTATAAACTTACACTTCCCACTAACACTTGAGCTGATTTGCCATTGTGTTCACATGCTTAACAGAAATGACTGTGATTGGCCGTGAAGGTCATCAGTTCACCGAACTCACCACTGTTTACTGAGTGAAACCACAGATACAGGCACACTGGAGTGTCTCAAAGCCACGTCAATCAGTTTGTCTATAAGCTGTCATCCGATGAATCGAGGCTTTAAACCACTCCAGTGTTCCTGTTCTGATTTTCTTGACATCACCTCATACTTAAGATTCTCATCAAATCTTCTGACCAATCAATTGCTCGCTAGTATTTCACATGCCCCGCCCCATTTAAGATGCTATTGCTGTATAGGCTTGAGCTCAGCCACTCTCACTGGCAGAGCTGTGATAAAAACAAAACATTGTTGGATGTTGTTTACTGTAAAAAGGGATGGGCTGCTTAATGCATTTTTCAGTTAAGATTACGTCAAACATTAAAGAAAAATTGCATATTTGAAAGCATTTTATGCGACCTTATGCGTCTGTAAACCCCTCCCCCATTACTAAGCCAACTCTGCTCTGATTGGCCAACTGCTATTGTCAGAAATGAAACGCCCCAATTAGATTCATATTTGCAGGAAGGTGTGAATTATGCAAATGAGTTGCTTTGATCATGTTGAAGTAGATCAGTAGTAGCCAAAACATTTTCAAATGGAATGACTTGTTAAGATTATTCAGAGTCAACTCTTTTATTTGATAGACAAAATCTTTAAATTATTATCGCTCACTTTTTAGATTAGCAATTTTTCCAACCAAGCTGGTGATTTATTCCACTGTGGCAACCTCTGATAATCAGAGACTAAGTCAAAGCAGAATGAATAAACTTTTCTAACTCCCGCTCATTGGGAATATGTGTCCAGGGCAAAAGTTTTGAGAACCGACAAATATGTACCCTAAAGTACGTTTTCCTGCAGTTTTTGTTTTTCCAAATCCACTAGAGGGCGCCGTGTACATTTTTGACCATCTTAAATACATTATTGGGTCGCATTTTCTCAAATGTGATATTTCTCATAAATCCACTAGAGGACATTTCTTCGAATATTACATTAAATCAAACCAAATCACTTTTATTGTCACATCATCAGCAGCATGTGTGTAATGATGAGTGAAAAGCTTAGCTGTCCTTCTTGTATGCATCTGTGAGAGAATCCTGTCGGCAGTGTTGGGCCGACTACTTGTAGTAGTGACGCTACTAGCTTAACTACATTTCTCAGTAGCTTGGTGGTAGCTTCGCTACTTTCTAAATCAAATTGCTTTACAGTCGCAAAGTTATTTTATTAGTCAAGTAGCACAGTAGCGTCCACACAAGCTACATTTACAGATCAATAAGTGACTGCACCGACATTCACGGAGCTGTGAGGCCGGTGTGTAGCCGGTGAAAGTAAATCCTTATGATGGCTAGAATGAGGAATTCTTCTTCCTGTTTTACGGTGTTCGACAACAAACTTTTTGATGCGTTACTGCCGCCTCTGGTTGTCGCCAACCGAAACTTGCTTGATTGAAAGATGACTGAGGGAGAGAAGTTATTTCTGAAGCAGGATTCCTCCTGACCAAACCTCTAAAAGTTCATGTTAAGATGCAATAAATATATAAATAAATATATATATATATATATATATATATATATATATATATATATATATATATATATATATATATATATATATATATATATATATATATATATATATATATATTTTTATATATTTATCACCTGGTTTTATTGGATTTTTTGTTTTAGCTGTTATACTATAATTTGTTTCTGTTTGGTACAGCATAGGCTACTATTTACAGTAAATTCCTGAACTGAACTATTCTGCCTCATATGTTTCATTGACCGTTTATCGATCACTAAGATCTGATTGACTTGGATTGAAGTTGCTTCGATTTAAAAATAAAAATTGCAAAAATCGCTTGGATGTAGCTGAGCTGCTTTTGCCTTGTAGCTTTTAGCTTAGCTTGCTACATTTCCCAGGGGGTGCCATTTAGTGTAGTTAAGCTACATTTTAAGTAGCTTATAGCTTAGCTCACTACATTTTTCAAGTAGCTTGCCCAACACTGCCTGTCGGTTTGTTGTTGTACATAATATATTCACTTGATATCAACTGACCCACACACCTCTTCACTGAATCCAACTGATAATGTTTACAAAAGCAAACTAGAAGACAAAAGCCATCGCGGCTGCATGCTTCTACCACAAACTCACCTGCTTTTTTAGGGTTTTGTTTTTCCTGGTTTGTGGTACCAGACTCAAACCCCAGTCTCGCTCCACTTTGCCTATCAAGTGTAGTGCTGTTTGCCGTATTAAATATTTCCCTTTTTTTTTTTAAATCCATGTTGCCTGCTCTTTTAGGGTGATGACAGAATTCAAACCTTATTACCTCCAATCAGAGTTTGCACATTTTCTGTAATTGGTTTCTTGTGTTCAAGTAAGTCATCATGCGCAGCTAATTTGTTGCTTCATACTACACAAAGCCCATCAGAAGGCTGTAGTCTTGTAAATACGTGCTAATTAAGATGATGCATGACAAACGTTGTTTCAGGATGCCTAATGTCACGTGTGGAATCTGCGTCTGAAATCTGTCAGCGTGTGTCTGATCAAAGCGTGGGATTTATGTAGCAGGATTTATGATGTGGTTTCTGGTTTACGCCGCTGTTGTGGAAACAGGTGTGCTGAACGCTCCAGGAGAATTAGGAGGAGATGTGCTTTTGTGTACACTCGTATTCCCCGGGATAATGGGATGTTGCTATGGAAATATTTATATAGATTTCGTCTCAACGGAGATGCACAAATTAAGGCTTTAGACCCAAACACCACACTTCTGCTCTAAAACCCAGTGAGCTGCTCTCATGTTGACAGCATTTTTAGGCATTATGGGTAGTGTTTAAAGCTTTGTAAAATACTAGGGGATGGTAATGTTGTTGCTGGAAAGAGGAGAGCAAAATCACATGGCTCTTTAATTCGGTTTTCAATCAAAAAAGGGCAAATGAGGCAAAATATTTGCATTTATACATTTATAAAAATATGATGATTTATCATAACGCTTGTTTGGCATGCTGTCCCAGGAGAGAGCCCTGAGCTCATAAGATCCTTGAGTCTGGGGCTCCCTAGGCGAGAGGGGAGTTTGAGCTTAGGTAGATCTGGAGAAATTCCCTGCTGGAGTACACACGTTGCAATGACGCATAGTTCAAGCTCTGTGATTGGTCAGCTTGGTAGTGGTGACGAGTGTGGGCGATGCTGAGAGCCACGGGCCCGATTGTTTGCAAATGTCGAGTCCCGTGAAGGAGCTCCAGATGGAAATTGTTGTGTTGTGTTTACCTTATGATTAAAGTTGTTGCACGTCCGCCGTTTCCCGTCTCTGAAT